AGACTCCACCACACTCCCAGGCAGACTATGCCACTCTCCAACAGCTCTTACTCTCAGGAAGTTCTTCCTAATATTTTCAGTCGAATCTCCTTCCCTGCCATTTGAACCCATTGCTCCATTGTGCCCTGGTTTCTAGAGCAGCAGAAAGTCAGTTTTCCCCCTCCTTCCTCCTTCTCAACAGGACACCCTTGCAAATCGTGAAACATGATTCTCATATTCCTTCTCTACATTCTCTTCTCTCAGGTAAACATCCCCCAGGAGGAAAGAGAAAGAGAAGGGAGGAAGGCAGAGAGGGAGGAAGGAAGAGAAAGGTGGAAGGAAGGAAGGAAGGGTGGAAGGGAATGGAGGGAGGAAGGAGAAAAGGATGAAAAGACAAAAGGGAAGGAAGGAAGGAAGGAAGGAAGAGTGAAAGGGAAGGAAGGAGGGAGGAGAAAGAGCGAGGTAAGGAATGGAGGGAGGGAAGGAGGAAGGAAAGAGAGAAGGAAGAAAAGACAAAAGGGAAGGAAGGAAGGAAGAGTGAAAGGGGAAGAAGGAGAGAGGAAGAAAGAGGGAGGGAAGGAAGGGAAGGAGGGAAGGAGGGAAGAGAAGGAAGAAAAGACAAAAGGGAAGGAAGGAAGAGTGAAAGGTAAGAAAGGAGGGAGGAAGAAAGAGGGAGGTAAGGGGGGAGGGAGGGAGGAAAGAGAGAAGGAAGAAAAGACAAAAGGGAAGGAAGAGAAAGTGAAAGGGAAGAAAGGAGGGAGGAAAGAAGGAGGTAAGGGAGGGAGGGAGGAAAGAGAGAAGGAAGAAAAGACAAAAGGGAAGGAAGAGAAAGTGAAAGGTAAGAAAGGAGGGAGGAAGAAAGAGGGAGGTAAGGGAGGGAGGGAGGAAGGAAAGAGAGAAGGAAGAAAGACAAAAGGGAAGTGAGAAGGGAAAGGGAAGAAGGAGGGAGGAAGAAAGAGGGAGGTGAGGGAGGGAGAGAAGGAGGAAGGGCGGGGGGGGGGGGGGGAGGGGGGGGGGGGGGAGGAGGAAAGAGTAGAAAAGACAAAAGGGAAGGAAGGAAGAGTGAAAGGGGAGGAAGGAGAGAGGAAGAAAAGACAAAATTTATTTATTTATTTACAGTATTAAATATACCGCTTTTCTCACCCCTAGGGAAGGAAGGATAAAGAGAGAAGGAAGGAGGGAAAAAAGAGAGAAGGAAGGACAAAAGTGTGGAAGAGAAAAAAGGAGAGAAAGTGAAAAAGGAAGGTAAGGAAAGGAGGGTGGGAGGGAAGAAAGGAGGAAGGAAAGAGAAAAGGAAGGAAGGATAGGATGATGAGAAAGAGCGAGGGCCTAAGAAAAGAGCCCAAGGGGCTGTATCCAGTCCCTGGGCCTGGGTTTGCCCATGCCTGACCTAGAGGTTGGTCAACCTGCAGTAAAAAGCATTGAAGGGCCATTTCTGTGATGAACATCTTCAACTGCTTATATCCCCCCCCCCCCGCTTCTCTCAATTAAAAAAAATGTATTCAGCTTAGAAATGGGCGGAGTGGCTGAAAGAATAGCGATGGAGGTGGGGTGCCAATCCCAGTTTGAACCAGGCACATGCAGTCAACTGGAAAAGGGTTTCTCCAATGAGGCAGGTTCAGAAGAAGAAGAGAATACCATGGAAAGCTCCCTTCCGTCCTCATCAACTGTATTTATGATGGAGGTAGGACAGAGATCCTGAAGATCTTTTTAGGCTCTGTCAGGTTCATGGGTGAGAGAAGATCTTTCATTCTGAACCTAAGCCATACTTCCACCTCTGCTTTCAACCATTGGCATTTAAGAGTCAGAACAACCAGGGCAAGGTAGCAAAGACCCCCAATTTCCTTTACTTCTCTTCCCACTCCTTGTGCTGAAAAGCTTCTAGCAATGAATCTCTGAGATTTCTCCCTCTTTTTCCTTTTCAACTCTACTATCAAACTGTAAATAACATCATTCTGAGACTAAAGGGCTTCCCTCCCCCTTTTTCCAGCAGAGACAATTGCAGATTTTCTCTGCTGGTGTCCGTTGTTAACCAGCACTTCTCTGCCACTCTATCAGATACAGACCGTAACAAATAATGGCGATGTGAGCCGTAAGCTTTAAAAATATAAAAAAATGCAAATGTCTATGTAAATTAGTGCACGAGAAGAGTGGGAGAAGATTTTGCACAGAATTCTGTGTAACTGGAAAAGGCCATTTGTACTGATTATCATTGGAAGCTGCCTGGTACAATCAAAAACACAGGTCTAGCTAACACAATAATACCTATAACTGGCAGCACTTCAAATGGGAGTTTTTTTCCCCAATCCTTCTTTGAAATGCCAGAGATTGAACTTGGGGACCTTCTCCCTGCAGACCTTGTGTTCTTCCATGCACATCTACCCTATCCACAGAAAAATAACACGTTCTGCAACCTCCTGTTAGCTGTTGTCAAGTTGAGTTCCATTTATGGTAACCCTGTGCATGATGGACTTCTAAGACACCCTGTCATCTGCATCCTCGCTCAAGCTTTGCAAACCCAGGGCTAAGTCTACCCACTTATAATGTAGGGTACATCTGCACTTTAGAATGAATGCAACTTGACCTCACTTTAGTTACTGTGGCTCAATACAGCTGGGAGTTGTAGTTTTACCACGTCTTCAACCTTCTCTACCAAAGAATGATTGACAATTGGGAAATAGAGGGAGAAAACGTAGAGGCCGTGACAGACTTTGTATTTCTAGGTGC